TGAAAGATTATCTGTGGAATATTACTGCCTCAGCATTTGCCTAAGTGATCCAAGGAAACCACAGAAGAACTTGGACCAAGGCAGACGGACCCGGAATCGAACCGGCGTCCTCCCGAATGCTAAGCAATGGTCTAAACCTCTAGGCCATGCCGCTCGGTCTCTCTTTCGATCTTCGTTCAATGTCTAAATAAAGACACTGCAGGGTATATTTAAAAATTATCTGTATTCGGTACCCAATTAAGTTACGCCCTTTCAAATTACAATTGAATTTTAAGACAGATTTTATATAACAAATGCTCTTATTATAATCTGAGATATTCCGTTCTTTTGAAAATATCTCATGTAAACACAATCCTATTTACATAAATTATTCTTGCACGGAACAATGAGTTTAAAGCTTAAAGACTTCCGAAGTAAATGTCGATTGTTACTGTTTAAGAGTACCTACACAATTTGAAAATTTTGAAACTGCAACTTGTTAATTTTAAATACAACACCCTGCATTTTGTTGAATAGACGTAACAATTCTCATTAATTTTTGTGTGAAACAAAGCAAGTGTTATTATCACTTTAAATATGTTTCACCAAATGTTTAATGCTAGTGTGAAAATTCCTTTAATTTTTATCTACTACAAATTTCCTTAAATTAATGAGGAAAAACTAATGCTGCAGTCATACCCTCGCAGGTGATCGAACCCGGGTCTTTCGGCTTTACGCACATATATTCTGACCACTAAGCTCCGAAAGAACAAGTACGAAACGTACTTATTAGGTCAGAGATTCGGCGAACTTATATATAAATTCCTCTAAAAACATGACTTTGNATAACTACTGGGATAAATTTTTGAATTAAATCTACCCACTACAGATAACCTCAAATTAATGAGGAAAAATTATTGCTGCTGCCAGTAGTCACAACATTGGTGTGTAAAGTCAAAGTTCATGGGCTCGATTCCCGACGAGAGTGCGACAACAGCAACAATTTTTTCTCATTAATTTGAAGTTGATAAAAATTATACCAATTTTCACATTAATATTACATATTAACTACTATTAAAAGTTTCTTAAAGAATTTTAAATACTTTTAGTTCAATATATTGAAAAAAGAAATATCAGAACGGCTTCGTGGTTTTCCAATATTTTCTTTTATGCACGGTTAAAATACACTGAACTTTTGTTCATTTATTTCAATTTTTAGGTTCGATTCATATTCGATGAACATCAGAGTTTTAGGAAAAATTTATACAATAATATTACAAGATACAGCTGGACAAGAAGAATACGATAGACTCAGAGCTTTAGCTTATCCTGAGGTAAGTTTGCATTTTTATTTACTGAAATCTGATAGGTAGGCGTTTCAAAAGTAAATACAATAAAAGGGAGATCTTGGAATCGGCTAAATTAAGAAATTCAACGCATAAAAAGCTTTTAATTGAACAGAAAGGCATCGCTAACTTTTTCCAATATGATAAAATCAATAGTATTTTATATTCTTCTAAGAACAGATTACCGATTTCTCAAAAGATGTAAAAATCAAACTGTTTGATTAAATGTAACGGCAACTCAAAAAAAAATTCTATGATTGAATCAAGTAAAATTAATTTTTTAACATATGTTAATGAATTATCTAAAGGAGGATTTTGCATATACGAGGGTGGATTGATAAGTTTCCGGCCTAACCAAGAGATGACGCCACTAGGCCTACCTTGAGGTGACATTCTATAGTACCATCCTTGGATAGCTTGTAGCTATAGTTTCAGCCCGATCTCCTTGCTAGTGTAGGTTTGACAGCACGCTGAACAAGACGCCTCTGTGGTTTTCGTAAAAATGGAAAAGCAGGAAAATCGTGCTGTCATCAAATACTTTTATTTGAAGGGGTTAACGCCGAAGGAAATTAAAAAAGAGATGGACTCAACACTGGGGACATCCTCCCCGTCATATTCAACCGTTAAGCAGTGGGTTTCCGAGTTTAAAAAGGGTCGTGTGAGCACCTCTGATGGGCCTCGCTCAGGACGCCCCGTTGAGGTCACAACTCCAGATATGATCGAAAAAATTCATCAAATAGTGCTGGGAGACCGCAGATTGAAAGTGCGTGAGATAGCTGAGACCTGTAAGATGTCATATGAACGTGTGCAACATATTTTGCACCAACATTTGCATATGGAAAAGCTCTGTGCAAGATGGGTGCCGCGTTTGCTAACAGTCGACCAAAAATTGATTCGAAAAAACATTTCTACCGCAAATTTGTCATTGTATAAGCGTAATCCAAGCGAATTTTTGCGTCGATTCGTAACCGTTGACGAAACGTGGGTCCACCACTACACTCCTGAAACCAAAGAACAGTCTAAACAGTGGATTGGACCAGGGGAACCAACTCCAAAGAAGGCAAAAACAATTTTTTCGGCGAACAAGGTTATGGCTACTGTTTTTTGGGATGCAAGAGGTATTATATACATTGATTACCTTGCAAAGGGTAATACTATCACTGGTCAATACTACGCAGACTTATTGCAACGTTTGAGCCACGAGGTGAAAATTAAACGACCTCATCTGGCGAAGAAAAAAATCTTGTTTCATCACGATAACGCACCAGCGCACACGTCAATCGTTGCGACGGCTAAAATCAACGATCTAAAGTTTGAATTGATGCCGCACCCTCCTTACTCTCCAGACCTAGCCCCGAGTGACTATTTTCTGTTCCCTAATCTCAAAAAATGGCTTGGCGGTAAGAGATTTGCGGACAATGAAGAAGTAATCGAAGCTGTAAATGGTTATTTTGAGGAGCTTGACGAATCAGTCTATAGAGATGGCATTAATAGACTGGAACACCGCTATGAGAAATGTATCAGCCTTGGAGGAGATTATGTTGAGAAATAAAAAAAAAAATTTTTTAAAAACCTTGTTTTTCTTGGTCAGGCCGGAAACTTATCAATCCACCCTCGTATTATGAAAGTGTCTAAAAGTGTAAATATTTAAACTGCGTTTGGGAACCCCAAAGCAGAAAAGAGAGACCAGTATTATAGAAGCCCAATCCTGGGTCTAAAATCCAAATTTTCTGTTAACCGAGCGATAGTGATCGTTTCGGAAAAATCTTCAAAACGCAAGCGTTATATTTTTCAGACAAATAAGGTCGGTTACACACATGGAGGATTGTTTAAGTTTTTAGCGTTCTTTCAGAGCAGAAAGATTTCGGCAGATGTCATATACAAGTTTTGCAATGTAATTTCTTAAGACAAATCGCTTCAGTGAGCTAATCTTCGCATTTCCCTAAAACTAGAATAACTCATATCCTTAACTATTTGCGAACAGTTTCCGCCTCTAATATGTCCCTAACTAGATCTTCATGCCTGAAGTTTCCTACTAACCTATCTCGCCTATTTCTTATTGACATCCATAGAGTCCTCTATTCATCCATTCTTTCTAATACCTCTTCATTTCTAACCTTCTCTATCCACGGTTATCTTCATCATTCGCCTGTAACATTTTGAACGCTTCTAACCTTTTCTTTTTCGACGCGCCCCGCTGTTCATGTTTCGCACCCGTACAGCGCCGTGCTCCAATCATACACCTTTAACAACCTTTTTCGAATTTGTAAATTAACCGTTCGCGAGCATAGAAGAGATTTCTTTTTATTGAAGGCGACTCGACCATGCGCTATCCTCTGCTTTATATTCTTACTACTCCTTCTGTCCTGACTTATCTGACTTCCTAGATATCTCAAATGAGCCACTTCTTTTAATTTGTCGTCTGCTATCTTTATATTCGCTCTTTCCCTACTTTTCCTTCCCTTGCATACCAGTATTTTTATTTTACTTTTATTTATTTTCATACAGTGCCTACTGTTTTGTCAATACCGCTTCCATTTTATTTAAAGCTATCTCTAACTCCTCCTTGCTAGATGCTAATACTGCTAAATCATCTGCAAATCCAAGCATGCTAATCTTTTGCCCCTGTATATCTATCGCTACAATTATACTGTCTTAAGTTAATCGCGTCTTAAATGTACAGATTAAAATGTAGCGGTGACAGTGTGCATCCTTGTCTTACTCCCTTCCTAATATTTACTTCTCTAAGTTGCAGCCCCATCTGTAAATATACTGCCTGTTGCTCTTTATATAAACTAAGTATCGCTATTCTATCTTTGTAACTCAACCCTACATTTTTAAGTATATTGATTACTTATATGGCTTAAAACGAACAAAGAGCAGCTTCTAGGGTAACTAGGTATTATTCCGTCGTCGAATGAAAAAGGAACGAAAAAAATCAACTGATTTGGGTTCATCCAATTAATGAAAGAAGAGATGAGGTTGGCGCCTTCTGCACCCTATTTGATGAATTGAGACAAGAATCAGCTTTTGAAGATTTCCCCTCTTCCACGGAAATATAAAAAAAAAAAATAGAAGCGGTAGAAAATCTGCTGTTCGCATAAAAGTACATTTGTTTAGGAAGTCAGTACTTTAAGGTGACAATAAAACTTCTGTAGGCTATGCCGTTACCGTTTATGGTAAAGTGACCGATCGTTTTTTTTTTTTTTTTCATCTAATGTACTTCAATGGCCTTCAGTTAAAATGGCAGCGACGGCAATTTCTTCGCTCGAAAAAATCACCGTGTGTGTAACCGACCTAACAGTAAGTTACAATAAGAGTCCGCCCCTGACTCAATTCATTTTGATTGGACTTCTATTATACTGGTCTCTTTTCTCTGTCCTAAGATTTCCATAAAAAATCATTTGATGTTTGGTAAAAGTTACATAATTTTTGAGTAATTCTTAAATTGGCAATATTAACATGAATAAGATAATTAACAATGATTAAGCATTAATTTACTCATTTTCAGACCGATGTGTTCATTGTGTGTTTTTCTGTGGATAATAGAGCATCTTACAAAAATATTGTGTCAAAGTGGAATCCCGAAATTCGACATTATCGACCAAAAGCGAAACTCATACTTGTAGGTAAGCTCCTGGGTACAAATTTTACTTTTTTTTTAAATAAACACCAGCAAAGGTAAAAATAACAGCTAAGCGGAGGAAAAATTATTCCTACTGTCACGCCCTCGCCGGGAATCGAATCCAACTGTCTGTGTATACGCACCATTGCTCTGCTATTAAGCTGGGAGAGGTGACACCACTAACAATTAATTAATCATCATTAATGTGCGGTTATCCGTAATGGCAAAAATTAATTCAGTTTAATAAATTGAAATTAACCCTACAGAAATTATTCTAAATGAAAAATTGTTATAGTTCAGTTTACAGCCAAAATAATTAAATATCTTTTTTGTCTCTTTCACTGGACCATTTAAGTGAATTGTTTAAAACAATGATTGTCAAACAGGAGAATATCAGGTGGTGGTATCGATGTTTCTTCGACAAATTGTTCGGCAAATTAAATTAGCTGAATATTTATACACACTTGTGTTTATTTTACGATTCGTTTTCTTTATTGTATATCGTTGCAACAGCTCACGTTTCATTTTTTGAAATAAATAGGAGAAATAAGGAAATGTTTGTTTTCCAATTTTTTTTCTCGTGTTACATATCCGGCTTATGTTAATTTTAGGGAAAAAGGCGCGTGTATAAATTGAGTAGTTTTATCATATGACAATTCGCAACACCAAGGGTGAATTGTAAAACAGCATTAACATAAAAAAATATAAAATTTCAAAATGCTTACCCGTCGGTTGTGGAAAAAAGGAGACATACATTGATACATAATCTATTTACCTGAAACAAAAACAAAATATTGTAGTACATATTAAACATAAGAAAATTACAGTATTAGTAACATGTTTTATCTTATGAAATCCTATGACATTGTTAGTTTCTTAATAGCGGATTAATATGCGATATTAATTTGAAATCATTTTTTCGATTTTTTATTTACCCACTACAAACTACTAAAAATTGTTTCAAATTAATATTGCATATTAATCCATTATTAAGTAACTAACAATGTCATAGGATTTCATAGATTTAATATATGTATATAATTATGTTAATAAAAATCGACGGATCGTTAACTTTGAAGGTCGGTTGGTCGTGGTTACTGTTGTCACCTCTCGTAGTTTAGTGGTAGAACATTGATACGTAAAGCCAAAGGTCCCGTGTTCGATTCCCGGCGGGGATGTGACAACAGTAACAATTATTTCCCTCATTAATTTGAGGTAGTTTGTAGTGGGTAAATAAAAAATCGAAAAAATGATTTCAAATTAATATTGCATGTTTTATCATTATTAAAGGAAATCTTTCTTTGTTTAATTTGTAATATAATAACACAGCATAAGGATTTCTATACCTACAGTAGATTAATTCCCATTGACTTTCAAATTTGACAACTTTTAAAATTGAATATGGTCGATTATTTCCTCTTTTTTTGTTTCAAGGAACAAAGTGTGACTTAAGAACTGACTGCCCAAATCCCATTTCGACAAACGAAGGCCAAGAACTCATGAACAAAATCAAAGCTGACGGCTATGTTGAGTGTTCATCTAAATTCATGTGGAACGTAAGCAGAGTATTTGAAGAGGCTTTGTTAAGTATAGTGGGAAGGCCTACACCGCCGAGAAGGCAAAGAACATGCTCATTATTATAAAAAAAACCTGTTTGATGTTTATAGAAAACATTTGATTCATAATACTGTACATTTTGTTTTATATGATTGAGTAATATATAGATCAGTTTCGTAACTAAGTTCTTTAATTATGTCTACTTATTTTTACGACTGCAACGTACAGAAGTATATGATAGGAAGGGAGTCAGACAGGGATGCACACTGTCACTGTTACCTTTTAATCTATGTACAGAAGACGTGATCAACATCATTAAAGACAGTACAACAGTAGTGATAGATATACAGGGGCAAAAGATTAGTATGCTTAGATTTGCAGATGATATAGCAGTGTTAGCATCTAGTAAGGAGGAGTTAGAGATAGTCGTAAATAAAATGGATGCGGTACTGACAAAACAGTACTATATGAAAATAAATAAAAGTAAAACAAAAATACTGGTATGTAAGGGAAGCAAAAGTAGGGAAAGAGCGAAGCAGAGGATAGCACAGGGTCGAGTCGAATTCAATAAAAACAAGTCACTTCTACGCTCACGAACGGTTAATTTAGAAATTCGGAAAAGGTTCTTAAAGGTGTATGTTTGGAGCGCGGCGCTGTACGGGTGCTAAACCTGGACAGTGGGCGCGGCGGAAAAGAAAAGCTTAGAAGCGTTCGAAATGTGGTGTTAAAGGCGAATGATGAAAATACCGTGGATAGAGAAGGTTAGAAATGAAGAGGTATTAGATAGAAAAGGAGAACACAGGACTCTATGGAAGTCAATAAGATTGGTAAGACACCTTCTTAGGCATGAAAGTCTAGGCGAGATTAGAGTCATTTTTTACAACTAGTCAAAAACATATTAGAGGCAGAAACGGGAGTAGGAGAAGTAAACCTAGATTAGTATACTGTCCGCAAATAGATGTGTGTTGTTCTAGTGTTTGGGAAATGCGAAGATTAGCCCAGGATAGGAAATAGCGGAGGTGCGTGTCCAACCAGTCTTAGGACTGACGACCTTATGATGATGATGTTTACGACTATTTATTGACAAATGACAAGAATGAAACTCTTATTAAAGCGTTGTCATAACCCATCACGGATAGCCAATTGAACAAGTAGTGAATCAGCTAGAAGATGGATGTAAAATTTGACAAATTTGATAATAAAAACAAAATAGCTAACTAACATTCACACTTGCAAACCCAGAGGAAATCAAATCATAAATAATATTATAAATGCGAATGTTACTTTGTTTGTTTGATCGTTTGTTGCAACTTCACGCCTTAACTACTTAACCGATCATAATGAAATTTTGTACCCACATTGTCACAGGTACAGAAAAGGATATAGGGTACTTTTTATCTAGAAAAAAAAGAAGTGACTGATTTTAGATATCTAGGAAGTCGGATAAGTTAGGACGGAAGGAGTAGTAGGGTTAAAAAGCAGAGGATAACGCAGGATCGAGTAGCCTTCAATAAAAACAAGTCACTCCTATGCTCGCGAACGGTTAATTTAAAAATTCGAAAAAGGTTAAAGGTGTATGTTTGGAACGCGTTGCTGTACGAGTGCGAAACATGGACAGTGGGCGCGGCGGAAAAGAAAAGGTTAGAAGCGTTCGAAATGTGATGTTAAAGGCGAATGATGAGGAAACCGTGGATAGAGAAGGTTAGAAATGAAGAGGTATTAGAAAGAATAGGAGAACAGAGGACTCTATGGAAATCAATAATAGGCGAGATAGATTGGTAAGACACCTTCTTAGGCATGAAGGTCTATTCAGAGACATATTAGAAGCAGAAACAGTAGTTAGGAGTGGTAGAGGTAGACCTAGATTAGATTACTCTTCGCAAATAGTTAAGGATGTGAGTTGTTCTAGTTTTAGGGAAATGCGAAGTTTAGCTCAGGATAGCAAAGAGTGGAGGTGCGTGTCCAACCAGTCTTAGGACCTGACGACCTTATGATGATGAATTGTTTATCTGTGATCATGCATCCTTTAAACAACAAAACCATCTGCATCATATATTTGTAACTTAAAAACGAGGAAGCAACAACATGACTGTAGTTCTCAAATAAATAGAAACCGTTTAATTCCATTATTGCCTTCATTTCAAAACGAATTAGTAAAATAGGGGGAAGAATTGATTGATGAAATTAATTCCTCAATATAAAAAGAAATCCCTGGAATTCTTAGAATTTCAAGAGGATTTACACCATAAATCCCTAGCGGTTTAACCCTAAGTCCTTTGTTTATAATTTTGCGGGCATTTGGACCAAAAATGTTAGGAATATTTGCTTGCTTGCTGCCTGACATTTATTATCCATTTGTTTATATAGGTATATATATTTATTGGCATCTCGATAACACAGC